ATTAAGCAAGACAAAGAATGGGAGGTCTGACATCTGCGCTGGAAAATAAAAAGTCCAGATAAATGTTAAAACACTTTTCTGCTTTAATCACCCCACCAAAAAAATGGCCAAATATCAGCCGAACACTAGTGAATGTACTTAGTAAAAGAGAACTTTGCTAAGAACATAGCTGTAACAGAATAATGACATGTGAATAATAAAATGTAACATTAGAATTATACAGAGCTATGAATAAACACTTCAGAAATGCCACAGACAGTTATAAGAAAATAACAATATCCTTCATGTTTACATGAATACTGACAGGTAGCCTGGCTAACCAACACTTTGACAGAACCTCGTGCTTTAAGCATCTAGATTGCCTATTTCAACAAAAGCATCTTCCATTAACCAGAAATACCAATAACTTGACATTTAAAAAAACCAACATAGTTCAACTCAATACAATGTAGCACAACAAGCCGTCCAACTTTCCACAAAGTTGAAAATCGCACATTGTTATATGCATATGACAGCCCGATTCAGAACATTAAAAACAATTGGGATGTATTTTAATATGCAGGACTTTACATTAAGGACAGCACAGTATCAGCACAGCATGTGGCTAACAGTTGAGCTACAATGATGTAGCATCTACATCGTGCCTCGTTTAAAGTTAGCTGACTTCACAACCAGTCTGAAGCGCTTGGAAAATACAGTATAATGTTGACGAGCTGTCATCGAAAACGTAATGGATGCAATATACTCAAAAAACAAACGAAAAACTCAAACGCAAGAGTATGAATGAGGTTGAAGACAGGAAGCGATACCGCCCCCAATCAACAGGCCTATTTCACTACATTAGCAACACGACACGACTATTTCAACTTGCTTTAACTCAAGACACTTAATGGAGACAATTCATACCCTCTTACTGCCTATAGTGGAGTGTGATAGACATGTAATATCCGACAGAAATGTCGCCATAAGCGCAGTATGTTCACGGTGAGGGAAAACGTTCGTCGGCTAATGACCGTTATTAAATGAGCACGCGCGCGTGGCCAGGCCGCTGCAGCAGCGCGAGCGAGCGGGCCACACACAAACTCATGGCCGAAAACCTAACACTCTGCGCAAAGCCATACACGCGGCCCTCGTGACAGCTTAATATCGTTCGTAAAGCGTGCATGCGGAGCTCGCCTGTGTGTGAGCTAGCTGACAGAAAGTGAGTGGTTCAGAATAAGCGCGTGAGGCCTGCAGCCATGCTGCTGATTCAATGAGCTCGCGCGCGCACACCTCACACTCCGACAGAAAGTACAGCACAGGACAAAACACCCCCTGTAAATGATATTATGGTGTAAAGCGCGACATAAAAAGAGGCCGAAGTGTTTTCCTACCTGGTTACTTTGCGAGGCCATGCTCCCGGTGAGATTTCTCCACAATCACAAGATGAATGTTCTCTCGGGGGGGAAAGGGATGAGGTGAGTTTGTAGTACTTGGTATTACCAAAAAATGCCTACTGTGACATGGTTTCCATTTTGCTATGGTTTGTCATTCAGAGGTTTTACCCAGGTTCAGTGCCACTACTCCAGCATATCACGCCGTTTCCCCCACCGTCGCCGCCATCTTTATCTCGCGCCTGTGTGTGTGCTGCCAGTGGCTCGCTCGCTCGCGCGCGCACCCTTCTCAACGAGCTCGTGTGCATGCGCCGTGCGTTGACGTCCAACCAGGAGGGTGGGCGCGCCAAAATGACGTGCAAATTCAATCTTGCACTAGTTTACTGTAACCATATATATATATAAGATATATATATATATATATATATATATATATATATATATATATATATATATATATATATATATATATACATACACATTTTATTCACAAGCAAAAATCTCTATCTAGTTTTCCACATTTCTTTAATTGATGCATTTCTAAAATCTCCTACACTATAAAAAAAATATTTTCAAGATTTGTTATTACAACATATTTTCTTTTGTCAAATCAACTTAGCCTAAATAATTTATTTAGTTGATTGAGATAACTTATAATTTTGAGTTTCTGATGATTAAATTAATCGCATTGTATTAACTCACTTTTTTCCAGTTCAATCAACTTAAAATTTTAAGGCAACCAGGTTACTTACTTTTTTAAGTTAAACCAACAATATTTTTATTTATTTTACATTTTTTTTTTTTTTATTTTACAGTGTTATAGGTCGATTTTCTTTTTACATATAGGAAACAAGCTTATAAATCATACAGAATGATCTTTTTTGAAAATCCTTTTCTGTCAATATACAGAATATACAGTTTGTACAATATAAAAACAATTACACCAAGTCCCTGTAAAACATGGTAGCTGGTGTGTGTGTGTGTGTGTGTGTTTAGGTTGATTGAAATGCACTGTCAGAACAGTTTCACCAAAAATAATCTGACATCCCATTATATTAGTTTAACCACGTTTTTTTTTTTCCTTTTTTTATTAATGATAAAAGCATACATAATATTTATTAAATTAAATATTACAAATATGCATATTAAAAAGTTAAAAAAAACCTAAAGATTACACAATAAGGTTTTTTAAAGCTGTGCAGGTGGGATACAGATGGGATTTACAGACAATTAAAATGCTTAGCACCAATTGTTCAACTCATTAAATTAAACAACACAAATCTTCCAGGTTTGCCTGAAAATGAGGTCATGACTGAATAGCTCTCTGGGTGAACAGAAAAAGAAGTGCTCATTCATTTTCCTCTTTGAAGATGAAGCTATACATAATAATAATAATAATAATAATAATAATAATAATTGAAATAGCTCAACAAAACTAATTTTTCAAGTAATTTTCTCAAATTCAACTGAAAATGCAAGTTTTAATGACTTCTGCAGTCTCAAAATTATTCATCCCCTTCAATGCAAGCATCTTTAGTATTTAGTAGAACACACTTTTGCTGTTATGACGTGCTGCAAACAAGATGTACATTGATACACCAGCTTCTGGCAGCATTTCTGAGGAATCTTAGCCCTTTCTTCATGAGCAATGGCCTTAAGTAATATTCTTGGGTTTGCGTGTTTTTTATCGATCCACAGAACCGAATCCGACAATGTCTGTGCCTTATTTATACGATTTTAAGCACTTTTCTTGTCCTTTTGGTACCTTCTCAGAAATCTGGTTGCTGCCATTGATAGCTTTCTTTTTCTGCCCCGGTCAGTTAGTGTTACAACTATTCCTTGAACTTTGAACTTGCAAATTATGTTTCCAACTGTGTTTTGTATCCCGTTCCTTGTTTGTGAAGGGTGATGATATCTTATCTTAACTTTTTGGGTCTTTCTTTAGACTTTTTCTATATATTTGACATGCAGCCAAACGTGACATTCAACAAACCCAACTCAATTCGCATACTATATCCGTCCTAAATAGTATTCGAAAATAGAATTAGTACATCCCAAATCATAGTAGGCCTATGTTTAAATGTGTGTTTAAAAGGTACCGGTCAGAATCCGAAGTGTAGATCGATTATGCACACTATATTGTCCACAACCCATTGCGCGTTGGACGAGGATTCGGTTAGAACTACACATACGAGTAAAAAGTGTTAAAAAACTACAGACATGGAGGACGCGCGAGTCCCGCGGTTATGTTGAGAGGTTTAGATAAAGAAGTTTGCGTGATTAATTATCAGTATCTAACCTAACGAAAATGAATTTATTAAATTTTGTCCATTTTATATTGCATCTGCAGCAGCATTGTGAACTTTTGTAAAGATACGTTTACCCATTAGCTACTTTTTAAATGCATCATTACATTCAAATTGCAAACACGAGAGTCTCATCAAAAACCCACAATTGGCAGATGAACGTGCTCTCCGAAACGGTAGGAAATCAAATTAGATAGAATAGAGGATTTTAACTGTGATAAGATGATTGACAGGGCAGTTTACGGAGACAGGATGCACGCAGCACGCGACAGAGCTGTCCGTCCGTTAAAGATGACATGATAGTATGTCCCTCTTTTGCTACACACTCAAAAGTATGTACTTTTTCTTCACAAAAAGAGTACATACTTTTAGGGCATAGTATAAGTAAGCGAATTGGGACGCAGCATGATATTTCATGTGTTCTTGCTCAAGCACACCTGGTGAAACTAATGAAGGCCTTGATTAGTTGCATTAGGTGTGCTTGAGACATGTATTGCAGATTTGTGCTGTTGTGAGAGATTCTATTCAGGGGGTTGAATAATTTTTTGACTGTATGCAGTATCATTAAAAGTAGTTTTTTTTAGTTGAATTTGGGGAAACCACTTGAAACATGTTAAGCTTTTTCAATGACTTGTGTTATATTTTTCAATTGCAAACAGCTGAAAGTCTATAAATGTTGCCAATAAACCCAATTTGCAATGCTCAGAACCTTTGGATATTTAAAAATTGTATGGATTCACTGATCTTATAGAGATCAGTGTAGATTCCCTTTTGGATTCTGTAGTGGCCTATTTTAACTTTACCGTGATTTAAGACAAGGCATAACTAAACCAGCATTAGGCTTAGTTTAATTAAATTAATTTAAGTCATAACGAGCCGTCGAAAAAAACATCAGACCGGTCTGCATCTTGAAATAAAACCATGGCTTTTAGTTAAAACGTCTCAATAATGCATTTTAGTCTGGGACAAGATTTTACAGTAAGCCTGTCTGTGAAACCGGAGGATAGCCTAGTTTGAATTCGCATGTTGCTAACGATTACAATTAAATTACTGATTTGCATATTCCTTCTCACTGAAAGCCATTTTTCAGGCACGTATTGTATTGCTTTAGTAAAATATGGGCTAAAATAATCGCCATTCAAAACTCGAGGGTCAACCATGTCGGATAGTAAAGCGATCACCAACAGATTCATTTTGGGCAGGGATTTGTGTAATCCTTCGTTTGTCACTGTTTTTCGCGATTTCGGATGATGGAGACATTTCAGCACACCGTTTCGAGTTAAACACATGACGTCATTATAATGCACCCGTGAGGCGGGGTCAGAGTCAGACAGGTTTCACAGGTGTGAAGCACCGCAACAATAACACCAGAGAACTGAACGAAACTCAGACAAATCACTGCTTATTTCGTTCATTTTTTTTTTGTAAAAGGTAGGCTTTGAGTGAATTATTTGCTTTATTACTGAATTATGTAATATTTTCGTTACCTACTAGGCTACGGTTTATTTTGGTGATTTGATTCAGGAAATTAGACCATATTGAGAGATAAGTAAAATGTTTACTTTACTTTACTTTATAGAAGTAATTCATATGATTAAACTGAACAATATTTTTAGATCAGAAATTGAATAACTATGTAACCACCACAACTAGCTCTCCAACATCAGTTAATTTATAACAACGATGTCTTGTGTTGGTTTCATTATCCGGGGACTTTATATTCACGTGAACGTGCGTAAAGTTTAAAACACATGCAACTTGTGAAATAGGCTACTAACAGGGAACGTTGCCACAACGTTCACTAATGTCTTGCAAAGATTGTAAATGTTAAGATTCATTGTATAATGTTTATTGAACGTTCATGTAACATTATTAATAATTTCTATGCGTTCTTCTCATGATGTTGAGAGAAACGTTCTTAGAACAACGTTATTGGAATATCTTTATGATGTTTTTACTTGATTGACTTAATATTCTCATAATGTTAAAATAAAACGTTCTGAGAACATTTTGAAACATCCTCGTGACGTTATTTGTTGATGCATGTTAATGTTAACCTTCTTGGAATATTACAAATAGATGTTTAGAGAATGTTATATTGTAAGTAAAAACCGAGGTTACTTTAAGTTGTACTAACATCGTAACCCTTGAAATGAGGATCTAATCATGACAAGAAAACATGGACATTTTAGCAACATTGCAAATCACTGTTCCCACAACGTTTATAGAACATAAATTTGTTAACTTGGTTCTCGTTTCTTAGGAAATGCCAGAATCAAACCGGCATCATCACACAAGGGGCAAAGACTACTCTGGTCGAGACAGGAATGATGAAGGGGGACGCGAGCACAGACAGGACAGGAGACACCGAGAGGACAGAAGAAGACCTGATGGAGACGACAGATCACGAAGCCACAGAGACAAACAAAGAGATGCTGACACACAGAGGGACCCCCGTGTGTACGAGGACACCCGGCATCATAGCCGGGGAGTGTAAGGAAGGATTTTATTGTGCTCTTTCTCTCCTACAAAAATAGTTATGTATGTATGTACACATGACTTTCTGCCCTGATGTTTTAATATTTTCTACAGGCCCAGTTACACTGAGACTTTACCTTCATACTATGAAGACAGTCAATCAGATCATCATACAGGGGCCCTTTACACCCTAAAATACATCACAACAAGCAGAGGTAAATTCATTTTTAACTAATTATGTTTGCTTCAACCTGCTTTGTTTACAGGGCTTTTGCCTGTTATAATAGTGTAAAATTGGGATTTTGTTCATTAAATTAAATGACTAAAATGTTAGTATGTTTTTATTGACACATTGGGGTGGTTAAGATTGTTTTAATGTTTTTGAAAGAATTGTAATGGTCACCAAGGCAGCATTAATTTGGTCAAAAATACAGTAAAATAAGTAATATTGAAAAATATTATTACAATTTTACATGTCTAAAATGTTTTTAAAATGAATTTTTAGCATCATTACTCCAGTCTTCAGTGTCACATGATCCTTCAGAAATCATTCTAATATGCGGATTTGATGCTCAAGAAACATTTCCTATTATTATCAGTGTTGAAAACAGCTCCTTAATACGTTTGTGAAAATCGTGGTCTTTTTTTGGGGATTCTTTTGATGAATAGAAACTTGAAAAGAACAGCATTTATTTGAAATAAGTATTTTTTTGTAACATTAGAAACAGTGTTGGGGGAAGTTACTTTTAAAACGACAACTGTGTTACAAACAATATTGTGCTATTACCTTAAAAAGTACTTTTTTGGTGTTAATTTTCCTTACCTGCTTGCTTGTTTTATAACACCAAATGTCAAGGTACTTTCACAACGAAGGTGAAATTACTCAGGAGAAGAAAGTTCAACAATCTTACTTCAAAAAAAGAAATGCAAATGTTATATTTAACCAGTCAATTTTGCTTATGTTTGAATTGGGCCATTGAAGGTCAGCAGGAAAGACATTGGTTAAAGGAGTAGTTCACTTTTGAGAAAACTTTTGCTGATAATTTACTCACCCCAATGTCATCCAAGAAATCCATGTCATTCTTTCTTCAGTCGAAAAGAAATTAAGGTTTTTGATGAAAACATTCCAAGATTTTTCTCCATATAATGGACTTTAATGGGAACCAAACGGTTCAAGGTCCAAAAGACACTTTCAGTACAAACTGCAAACTGTTCAAAGGGCTTTAAACGATTCCAGACGATGAATAAGGGTCTAATCAAGCGAAACGATCGCCCATTTAATAGATAAATAACAAAGTTTAAGTTTTATAAGCTCAAATGCTCGCCTTGCTCTGTTCTGTGACGCACGTTTGTGACTCTCCTGTTCGAACTCGAACGAATCTTTTTTTTTCTAAAGTTTTTTCAAAAGTGAACTACTCCTTTAACTTCTTTATTGACCCTAAACGGTATTTCTGAATGTGCATGTGTTTGTCTTGTAGGCATCTGCCAGGCCATGGAATTCTTCTTAAGTTTGTTGATTATCATCTGTGCCGGAGTGAACCATAGTAACTCGGGCCGATATCGGGATATCGCCAGCTTAGGCGGTCTGTACCAGTACTATTATGGAGGATCCAACGCATTCATTGGAGCAGAGGCGCAGAAGGTCCAGCAGCTCGACGACCAGTTCTACCGACTCAAGCTGCCCCCTTACGTCTACAGCATGGCATTGGGTGGAGCGTTGATGCTTTATGCCGGTGCCATGCTGGCCCTCGGTGTGTTCCGCATGCCCTACCGTTTCCCGCCTCTGCTGCTGGCCGAAGCCCTGTCGGATGCGCTCATAGGTCTTGGTTTTATTCCCGCTCTCGCTTTCTACTTCATAAAGCTCCAGGAGATCTACAACAACTCCATCTGTAAAGAGAGGGAAGCCATGTACAGCAGCAAAGGTCACAGAGGGTTCGAGTGCAATCTCAATGGGGCAGACATTGCAGGAGGGCTGTTTGGTGTCCTGGGGATTATTATTTTCCCCATCAGCGCAGTGTTGGCCATCAGAGCCTTCAGAAGTGTGCGGAAGATGAAGAGCAGGCCGACTGAAGACAACAACCTCTGAGTGTTACGCCATTTCATGAATGCGGGAATCATAGACGTCACACCCATGTAAATGCTTTGGTTAGTATTTTTACAACATCTGAAGGATATATATATATATTTTTTTTTTTTCTCCATATATGCTTTTTTTAACTTTCAATTTTATTATAAAGGACTTTTGCACATTTTATACTTTTATAGAAAAAAAACTTTTGCTAGGAATTTGTTGAAAGCCTTTATATATAATGCATTAGGTATGCATTGTAATGCATCTATGGTCTCATGAATAGGTGTAACTACATCCATTCATTGAACACACATTTATAATGCATTAAAGAACATGAAAAACAACCAATTTCAGATGCCACAAGGAATCTGCTAATATTATAATTAGTGCAGTCAAATCAATGAATCACGATTAATCGCATCTAACATAAGTTTGTGTGTATATAATGCCAAGTTATCTTCATTTATATACCGCTTTTAACAAAAGATTGTTCCAAAGCTGCGTTACAGTGATAATGTGTGTGTATATATGCATATGTGTCTCTGTACACAAACACACATTACATAAACGTACTGTATGTAAGATGCGATTAATCGATTATAATGCATTTGAACTTTGGTTACAATCATTTATGCATTATAACGTACATTGTGAATACCTTTATAATGCATTATGCATAAAAGCTTCAATTGAAATGTTATACTTTTCTTTAGACTCATCATTTGATTAAACAATATACTGTAATATGTTAAATTACACAATTAATTCTACGTTATATAATGCATATTCATTAGTGAATTGTCTACCTTTGGTACCCATGAGACGAGACCTAAAGCTGAATCATTTGTGTTTCTTTTTAAATGTGCATCTATTATTAGGAATATTAAAGTATTTAAAACAAAAAACAAATACATCTGACAAAGAACTTCTGTGAGATCAAAGATGCATGTTTCACAGTAAAAATTTTATTGCTACTTGGCTGAAAAGTCAATTAAAAATACAGCTTTCTGCTCAAAACTAAGCATAGCAGCATCTGAAATGAAACGATGAGCCAGCACCCACTCTAAAAACCCCAAGAAGTACAGTCCTAGCTGACAGACAGCTAAAGTGCTCGCGTTTAGTCCTTTTACCAAATCAGTAAAACAACTCAAATGGTCTCCTAAACTAAAAACAATTAAATAATTTAACACGATGAAAATATTCAGCAGTGTACTGCATGTTAAAATAGAAACTTAAAAATATAATATACATTATGCTTCAGATATTAAAACAATTTTGTTATAAACAAAAGTTAATATTTTATACAAATAATCACATGATAATATATTCTTTATATTATATATATATATATTTATATTCATTTATATATATAGGGCATGCTTCTCACATTAAATACATGAATAATTAGTCTCTTCAAAGATAGTACCTTGACGGGTGACGGTTTAATCCTAGATTCTGCACTGGAGGACCTATAAATTTGCATGAAACGATGAAGTACAAAAATAAACCTCAGCTTCTTGGCATTAAGAGGAAATATTAAAGCATCTCTTAAAAACAAAACGTACAGAAATTATGACAAGATCAAGCTTTGGTCACATGTCGAACAACAGGAACTTCATCTTAACCCTCGTATGTCCAGAACGAACCATGATTATGTGCAAAAAGGTCAATGAATATGCCAGATAAAGATGCGTGGTTGCGTAGTTGGAACTTGGAAAAGCAGAAACAAACTGTATTGTTGAACTAGGTGAAGGCTTTTCCAAACTGAAGTGCAAATATGATCACTGTTTCTTGAACACTCCCCCTTCTGTCATTGGTCAGACTAACAGATAGCCCCACCCCCAAGCTCACGCCATTGGTTGTCAGGCAAAAGCACAAAGCACACACAGATGTTCTGATCAAAATCCAGAATGTTAACACTTTTTGTGGGACTCAACCTATAAATGGATAGGAGGGAGTATCTTAATTAAAAGGAAGTGATCATATTTTTAATTTCTAAATCATGGCTGTGTAAAACGTTCCTTTTGTTCAGCACAAGTGTTCCTAGAAGAGAAAGTTAAAGGGAATTCAATGGCGAATAATGTCTCTAACTTTTATGTTCAGTTTGAATATAAACATGATCGAGATAATGTTCTAGTGCAATGACACCACTAACACACTGGCATACAAATCCTAATCACACAACAAAAGAATACTTCATGCTCAAAGATAAAATATTAGAATTGTCCTATAAAGTTAAAATATAATAACAAAAAAATCCCAATATTTAATGTGAGCGGGGATGTTCTGTGCTTTGTGGTCTTCCTGTAAAGGAACAGTTCACCCTACCATGGAAATTATGCCGTAATTTACTAATGTTGTTCCAAAATTGTTGAACATAGAAGATATTTTGAGAAAAGTGTTTGTTGTCGATACAATGGAAGTCAATTACCAACATTCTCCAAAAAACATTTACGAAAGAAAGTCATGCATAGGTTTGTAACGACATGATGAGGGTGACCTATTGTTTTTGGGTGAACTATAGGAAGAATAACCTCTGCCCTTGCATTTAAAGGAGTAGTTCACTTTTGAAAAAACTTTTGCTGATAATTTACTCACCCCCATGTCATCCAAGATGTCCATGTCATTCTTTCTTCAGTCGAAAATAAATTAAGATTTTTGATAACATTTCAGGATTTTTCTCCATATAATGGACTTCAATGGGAACCAAACGGTTCAAGGTCCAAAAGACAGTTTCAGTGCAAACTGCAAACCGTTCAAAGGGCTTTAAACGATTCCAGATGATGAATAAGGGTCTTATCAAGCGAAACAATCGCGCATTTTTTTTTAAAAAATAACAAAGTTTAAGTTTTATTAGATCAAATGCTCGTCTTGCTCTGATCTGTGACGCACGTTCGTGACTCTCCTGTTCGAACTCGTTCATCAAAATGAACGAATCTTTTTCCCGAGTCATTTGGTTCATTCAACGAAATTGGCTCTGAAACAGATTCGTTCATTTTGACAGGAGAGTCACGAACGCGCATCACGGAACAGAGCAAGGTGAGCATTTGAGCTTATAAAACTTAAACTTTTTTATTTGTTTTTTTTTTTTTAAATGAGCGATCGTTTCACTTGATTAGACCCTTATTCGTTGTCTGGAAAGCCCTTTGAATAGTTTGCAGTTTGCACTGAAACTCTCATTTAGACCTTGAACCGTTTGGTTCCCATTGAAGTCCATTATATGGAGAAAAATGCTGGAATGTTTTCATCAAAAACCTTAATTTCTTTTCGACTGAAGAAAGAATGACATGGACATCTTGGATGACATTGGGGTGAGTAAATTATCAGCAAAAGTCTTTTCAAAAGTGAACTACTCCTTTAACTGATGAATCACTAAACCTTATGGCTTATTACGCATAGGAAATCTGCATTTGGCAGTTTCACCTCAGCATGTTTTGGCCAGGAGAACAGATCGCAAATGTTTAGGGGATCTATATGTTTACACAACATCGATATACTAAAAATGGAAAAGTTTTTCCTTTTGCGTTTTTCGCATATCCGTCAAAACGATCCCTGTTCACCGGGATCCGTGAAAAATACAAAAAAACCTGCATTCTGCTGCCAGTCCAGTAGTTGGCGATGTCACTTTGTAAAGAAACACTACACACCTATAGACTGAACACATAAACAAATGTGCATAACCTCACGTTTTTTGTAGTTTACACAGAGACGATAACAGTATCGTTTTCAAAAAATTGCACTTTGAAACGCTTAAAGTTTTCCGGTTTTAGTTGACAACGGTGTCGTGTAAAGTAAACGGCCCCTAAAATAAAACATTTGTCCATGTGGCAAAACAACTAGCTTCGTCGCCTAGGCTGAAGAAACAGATTATTTTCCACAAAAGAATTTGACTCACACAAATTTATGGATTTTCCCAGTCCTATTCTTAATACATTTCAGATTAATAATCTAATTGGACTTGTATGATTGTTGCATATATCATTTCATGTATGATGCAGATATGCATGTAGTAGGGCTATAGAGGGTCTAAGATGCTGTATCCATTACATTTGTTTGAAAAAATTACTTTTCTCTTTCCTTAAAAGGATAAAGCACTGCAGGGGATGAAACGGTTCTATAGCTAAATACAGAGTTAGTCTAACATCTTTCTAACAAAGCAAGACGTCAAGTGCTTGAACTCTGCCTCTTAGCACAGTATCATCATGAATCAGCATGTTGTGCCTCAACAACCACATCTCTCCTCTCCAACAAACATAAAAAATGACATATTTTAGGGGTTGTAACAGAAAGAATACCAACTTTCTGAAAGAGGCCATAAGTCACAGCCTAATATTGATTTTATATGCATCTCAACAAATAGCTAAAATGCTATTCTTAAATATGTCTATAGATTCTCTGAGCTATGTACAAAGTGCTTATACAGTGTTAAACTCGTTTACTTCATATGATTGTACAACAATGCTTGATGCACTTAAATTTAGGGAGTCTAGGTATCAATATCCAGCAAAATGTACTTGACATTTTTGAACACGAAAAAAAAAATGATCGAAATAGAAACACTAAAGAAATTTGAGGGAAAACCTGCTTTATGACTATTAAAGAAAAAAAAACCTATGAGTCATGCGAGGCTGCAGCATCCACACCACTGGCTTCAGCTCTCAGTAGCACCCGAGGGACGGATGAAATACTAAAATAACTTGCCTACCTTCAAATACCACTACTACATCTTTTGGCACAAGAGCTACAGTTTTAGGCCTGTAGACGATTAAAATGAACACCAGAAATGACTCTCTAATGCTTGCAGAAAAGTCAATGGCAGTAAAAGGTCGATTCAATATCTTCTTGGGTGTTAAATACCAGGATCCAGATTAGTTACACGGTGGCCTTTTCCTCACAGATTATAGCAAACACAAATCGCTATGCAAGTTTGGCACAAAGAGCATTTACCAGCTGACCATGAAGCTGAAACACTCAAAATGACTGCCGTAATGGAAATAATTGACAAAATGAATATTTTGAATATCTGAGCATGCAAATGTACTTAAAGGGATACTGCACTTTTTTTGGAAATAGGCTCACTCCCCCAGAGTTAAAAAGTTGGGTTTTACCGTTTTCAAATGTATTCAGACGATTTTCTGATATTTAAAAGAATATCAGTAACCAGACAGTTTCT